CCCTCCGAAAGGGAGGAGGTACCGGTTGCTTGGAAGGCCGAGCGGCGTGGAAGTCACCGCCCAAGAGGCAAGCAGACCGCTATATCTCCAGGTCGGGCGAAGAGCCCAACCTCATTGTCGGTGTCAAAGTTTGGCGACACACTGGTTGGAGCGGTGGCTGGAGCAGCGCTAGCAAGTGAAACGCTGCTAGGGAAGGACCAAGGACACGGAGGCATACCCAGCGGCATTGAAAATGGAAAAAAAATGCATTTTCAAAAAAAAAAAGTGAAAAAAAAAAGAACAATAGAAAAGGGACGACAATTTTTCGCTTCTTTAGCAAGTTCTTATACTAGCCGGAGCCTGGGGGTAATGGGGTCATACTGCGGTGGTGGCTGAAAAAAAATAGAAAAAAATGCAGCAAGAGGAAGAAAGTTAAACTGTAACTTCGTTTTTTTCCTGGCTTGTTCTTACAGTAGCCGACAAGGAACATGTGACATCATTCTCAAAGGGTTAATTGCATGTCCGCCTCTATACTTCGGCTTGTTTGAACCATGATGGGACAACCAAGGTGGCAATAGGTGTGCGGTTTAAAGCAGTTAAATCTCTCTCCCTTCGTAGATCTTTTTTCGTTGCAACATTGACAATCACACATTTCGTGACCCAAACAACGACTACCCACCCTACCCTTAGCGCGGATATTCACCACCCATGCAAGCATGTGTCGAATCCGACCACACAATGAAGACTGTCACATTGTCGTTGAAGCTAGTTCGTGCATCTCTCATGAACAGGGGCAGACATATCTACCATTTGCCCTATCTCAGTTCCTACACCGCTGAACCGTTGACATGCAGACCCGTGTTCAGTGGCCCAATAGTCTTTGGGACCATTGAAGTCTATCACAGTATCACTGCTTCTATTTTTGAGCTGTTTAGAGAGCGGTAGAGTCTGCTTACAGTCTGTCTGTAGTGTGTCAGTGTCTGTTTTCTGTACGCTCGAGTCAATAAGTCTCATACAGTCTATCCTGTTTTTTTTTTTTTTTTTTTTTTATGTTCTCTGTTGCAAGGTCGTTTTTCTTTCATTCTGTATGTCTCTTTCACACTGTCCACGTTTGATTTGAGCCATCTTGAAGGCAATAAGAGTGTCATGAGACTGTTTCACACTCTTTGGACCTGTTTAGAGTGTGTGTTACTCTGTTTCAGTTTGTTTTTTTTCCTTATTGTAATGACCTGCCATAACACAGACTGAGTACACTGCTGGTTTCTGAGTTCTGCCACTCTAATTTTTGCCTTGCTGAGATTCCCACGTTTTGCAAAGTTCTCTAAGTTTGTGTGTATGCATGCTCTCTGGTTGGTGTGTGTCTCTGAGTACTTGTCTGCCTAACTGTGCATGTCGCCCGCCAGGGCAGTGGTTTCTTAGGGAGGCCCGAGAGGCCGGAACTTACCTGTGGCCGTGACTTTGCGGGTTGCAGCGTGGAAAAACATTGTAGTGCATGAAGGGAGGCTTAGGGCACACTCAAGTGTCGTACTTGGGAGCGGAGCAGTGGCATTACAACACTACGATTACTGGCATCATGCGGTTTGCGCGGGCGGGGTGACTTCCAATTAGAGCAGCAGGGTGGGATGTACAAGTGGAAAAAAGAGCCGAGAGCGAGATCCCAAAGAAAGACTATGGAGGTGAAACTTGGTCGTCTGTCCAGGGAATCGGGCAGAAGAAGATGGTAGGTGGGGGTTTTGCCCTATTGTGAGTTAGGTAGTAATGTTAGATTTAGCTTTCAGTTGTGGAGTTTGGCTAGGGCGGCAAATCTGTTAAAAAAAAAAAAAACAATTAAAAAAAAATTTCAATCAATCAATCAATGAGAAAATCGCATTGCTTGCTTGCTTGATTAACTGATTGATTGCTTCATCCAAGGTGCAGACCCTCGTGGCCTATGAGATCCAAGCGAAAGACATTGTCAGGTGGGGAGTTTCATTGGGTTACCAGGTCTCTTAAGTAATAATAATAATAATAATAATAAATCAATCAATCAATCAATCAAGCGCATTGATTGATTGATTGATTGTGTGTGTGTGTGTGTGTGTGAGAGAGAGAGAGAGAGAGGGTGTCTGCTCCTCCCTCCCCAGTCCTTCTTTGTGAAATGACTTGAGAGGTGTAGAGTAAGCAGGAGCTTTATAGCGCAAGTGAAATACCACGACTTTTTTAACGTTCTTTTACTTATTCGTGAGGTGAAGACGGGGCTTTGCCCCTGCTTCTCTATCCAAGTTGCAGGCCCTCGTGGCCTATCCGATCCAAGCGGAAAATATTGTTAGGTGGGGAGTTTTTTTGGGGTGGCACATCTGCTTTAAAACAAGAAAAAAGAAAAGAATGTGTGGAAAAATGAAAATAAAAATTGTGAGGTGGGATAAGAGTGTTGCATCCCATCCCCATATTTGCATCCCTCTCTCTCTCTCTCTCTCTCTCTCTCTCTCTCTCTCTCTCTCTCTCTCTCTCTCTCTCTCTCTCTCTCTGTGTTATTGTTGCTACCATATCAGATGACTTAGACTTTTGACGATGTGGTTGGGAAGTGGGAGCCATGTACGTAGACGTTGTTGCCGTAATCCTTGTGTGTTTGGTGTTCATATTCAATTGCATCTCTCTCTCTCTCTCTCTCTCTCTCTCTCTCTCTCTCTCTCTCTCTCTCTCTCTCTCTCTCTCTCTCT